TGACCTATTATGCCCCTTTTTACAAGATGTAAAATAAGTCTCTGATGTCCCCAGAGTGTGTATGTGAAGTTTTAGCTCAAAATATTCCACAGATCATTTTTTAAAGCTTGTTAAAATTGCCACTTTAGGGTATAAGCCAAAACGTGCTGTTTTTGTGTTTGTCCCTTTAAATGCAAATTAGTTGGTGCTCCCAGCCCCCTTTTAAGAAGGCGGCGCTTCAAGAGCTCATGCTCTGTCATATGGGCAATAACAAACAATCTCACGCACTGAAAATGTCAGAAACTCTCAAGTGGTCGACTTCACATTGCTTTCATATTCAATTTTTAACTACCACATTCCTATTTACGCTGATTCTGGTAGCACGTGAAGGCAGCACCAGTGAAAACAGGCAGAGACAATGGTAGCTTTAGCAACATTAGCCTTACTGAGTGCCAAGAAGCTCTTTCAGAAAGGCAATTTGGAAAACAAAATATGACGCACTTACTCTATCTGGAGCTGATGTTTGCGCACGAAGCGTTGGTATTGATCCCTCTTTCAGAATCAACTTTTGTAAAAATCCAGCGTCATCGTAGGGAGAAATCTGGAGTCGCTTGTTCTGAGAGACTGTTTTTGATTTATTGTGATTATAAAAAAATGAGTGGGTGGATTTTTACCATTATAGGCTGGTTGGTTTTCACACTGCGGCCACACAACTGTGTTCAAACATCTTATAAAAGTGATTTTTGCATGATAGGTCCCCTTTAAAGGTCTTTGCAACAAACTGCCAAAATAATAGTTTGCTTAAACTTACCACATAAATGTATTACTCTTTGTAATTGACTTATTATTTTAAGGAATTTCATACAAGCAGGATATTTTTTCATCCGTTTTAATTTATACAGTAAGTTCTTTTGTGTAGCACCATGTTAGACAAAAAAGTGTTTTGTTGTTCTAAAAGACTTAAATTGTAAATTTTATAAATTAATTTCATAATTCTATAAATGTATATTAAACCATAAAGCACGGAATACAGAAATGAGTTTTTATTACCTTATTATATGAATTTTTTGTCTTTTTAGAGGTGTGTAAATGCAATCCATCAATTGGCCTAAACTGTATGTTGAATAACTAACTTGAATGTGGTAACTTTTTTTTTGTTGTTGTGACAATGCATCATGTGTAGTACTGTTTGTCATGAACAGTATCAATAACTACATTGATTTCAGTCTCAGTTAGATGTAAACTATGTTTTTGATTCAAGAGAATCAACTCGTAAGGTTTATCTTTTCAGGTGTTAAATTATTACCCTGAATGTGTCTGAATTAGTTAAAAGAACCATGGGAGTCTTTTAATTCTGTGATCAAACTACACTTTACAGATTTAGAAGAACTGGTTTTCAGTTCCCAACCGTACCCCTGTGACAGTCTTTCAAAATATTTAGTTACATCATTCCTGTTTTAGGCGATGGTCCGTCAATATGCAACCCTTTATTGTTTTTATAATAGGTGCACTGCAACGATCCATTTTTAAGAATGACTTTAATGATAAGATTGAAAATGAATAAGCTCATAAGTGATTTAAGAAAATTCAATAATATATCTACTGTTGTGTTGTTACAAAGCCAAGCCTGTGATGATGAACGCTGCAGTACGGATGTCTGTACCCATCGTCTCAGCACAGACCATCAAACAGGTACACAGTCAAACACCTTGCTCACTACACACAATTAAACAGTGACATCATTGTTACGGATGGTTGTGCAGCTTTTGGGCTTTTTGCTGTTTGGTTTGATGTTGATAATCTGTAGCAGAAACTGCACGATTAATCATTAAATGATCGCAATCTCGATTCAAACACCCATGCGATCTAATTTCTAAATGAAAACGATTCGCCCTTGTCTAATAAGCCTTTGGAAAAAGTCATACCAGAACATTCAAATCTGTGTTTGTGCAGCCGCTGATACAGATAGCAGACAGTTAGCATGTTTAGGTAGGAAACAGCTTCACAAACAGTCTTTTCAACTACACAGTATTATTTCTGTTTTACAGTAATTCATATTATCACAAATACTGAGATGAAAGTTTTTAGTTCGGATATAAATATGGTAGCGATCAAAATAGAGCAAGTCATCTTTTGAAAGTAACTGGCGCTGCAAATAACATTTGTGTCGACTGCATAAAAGTGACTGTTAAAAAATGTATTTGTCATTGAATCATTCATTCAAGAGATTCGTTCAAAAACACCAATTCATCCAGTAATGAAACAAGTGAAGTACTTATGAGTCATTGAACCATTAATTCAAACCACCTTTTCATAATTTTGAAATTAAAATTTGGTGTATTAAATGTATTATATTTTAAATGCATATTATATATTAAAATATTTAATAATTCATTCAAATTAATTAAACATTTTTAAATAGATTGCAGCAGTAAATATTTTGTCACGCATTATTTTGTTTAGTTCAGAGTCGTGGGAGAATCGTGATCTCAATTTGAGACAAAAATTGTGATTCTCAATTTATCCAGAATCGTGCAGCTCTAATTTTACATATACTTGATCATCTTTTTGTACACAGGTAGTACCCAAACCCTTGACGTCAGCAGCCCAGGTGGTGACCACCAGTCAGACGCCCCAGCGTCTCATCATGCCAGCCACACATCTGCCACAGATCCAGCCCAACCTCACCAGCCTGCCGCCGGGCACTGTGCTCGCCCCCGCCCATGGCTCTGGAAACATGGGCTACGCTGTGTTACCGGCCCCATACGTTACGCAGGTCTGTATATCAGCGATGGAGCAGGACATATGAGTTTGGCTGGTGATTTTTGTGGGATTGTCTCACCTTGCTTGTTCCCATAGATCCCTCAGCCTGCGTTTGTGACTTTGACCAGCAGCTCCACCTTCTCTACAGCCACCCCTATACAGACTCAAGCCAGGCTTTCACTTAACGGGTGAGCCGAGCGCCACGTTCCACACTGTTACATGTGTGTATGTGTATATATACAAATTAACTACAGCCCGACCGATATGGGTTTTGGGGGCTGATACTGATATTAGGGAGTAAAAATAAATCCGATATCGATTTATCGGCCAATATTCTTTGTGTATATTATAGTACAGTACCAGTCAAAGGTTTGGACACACTTCCCCATTCGTGTGTCTAAACTTTTGACTGGTACTGTATATAGAATACAATGTATATACATAAACAGAATATATATATATACATAAACAAATTTTTTTGCAATGATCACTCAAATAGGGTGATCAAATACTTATAATGACTTGACAAAGATATGTAATGGAGGCAGGGTATTTAACAATTTAACAAACTTTATTATCCAAAATGAGTGACATCAGCGCACTTAACCGTAAACTTCACTTATTATAAATAACTTAACACAAATAGAACAATATATACAGTATATACAGTATATAACTTGAATAAAGAACACGAGGATTCATATTTAAATAGTCTTTTTGCAGTTAATTATTCACAGACACTAGTCTGTATCATGGTTTGATTTAAGTGTACTGACCTACCTATTTTTTTATTTAATCATCAAAAATGACAAATTCTGTGAAATTCCGCATTATACAGTAAATTCCGTTTTTATGACTGGATTCCGCGATTCCATCTGAGTTTTCTGCATCATGATCTGGGTCGCCAGTAACAAACGAAGTAATTACACCATTTAAAAGCATTTTCTCTGGTTATATGTTCTGTAAAAAAAATGTATCGGTGGCATATTTGCAGCATATTCACTGATGCCGATATTTATGCAGCAGTCTCATATCGGCCGATAAAATCGGCAAAACGATATATCGGTCAGGCTCTAAAATTAACCATCAGGTTACATTCTGTCTGTGTTTTATTATAGTTTATCAGCGTCTGAAGCAGCTTCAAGGCAGAGAAAACCCTGCAACTGCACACGGTCACAGTGTCTGAAGTTGTAAGTGTCACCCGTCATTTGTTTTCCATTCTCTGAAAATTGAAAATGGCCCATATGAAGGGTGTAATCTGTTTCAGCTGCTACATTTGGCAAGTGGTTTCATAGTTTCCAGATCCAGTTGTATAATACTTCCTTCCTTTTAACAATCTGCAGTTCAGTTTCTCATACTGTCACCAGCAAGAACAGTTTATTCTGGCAAACAGGAAGCAGATTAACAGAGGTGCCAATATAGCTTGTAATTTTATTGCTCACAAGCACCCCGTCAAGCAGTTTACACATTGGAAGTGCCAATTGTTTTTAAGCTTTGCCTGAAGCATCACATGTACCACTATTCAAAAGTTAGGGGTTGGTAAGGTTGTTGTTGTTGTTGTGTTTTTTTTTGTTGTTGTTTGTTTTGCAAAGATGCATTAAAAATTGATAAGTGACAGCAAAACCATTTATAATGTTACAAATTTTTATTTCAAAGAAATGCTATTTTTTTTAAGTGAATATATTTTCAAGGTTCTCTGATAAATATAAAGCAGCAAACAATATGAAGCAGCACAACCATTTTCAACATTGATAATAAATGTTTCTTGAGCAGCAAATCAGCATATTAGAATGATTTCTGAAGGTCATGTGACACTGAAGACTGGAGTAATGATGCTGAAAATTCAGCTTTAAATCACTGAATAAAAAATAATATTAAAATAGAAAACACATTTTAAATTGTACTAATATTTCACAATATTGTTTTTACTGTATTTCCGATTAAATAAATGCAGCCTTGGTGAGCAAAAGAGACTTTATTTTTAGAAAAATCTTACAGACCCCAAACTTTTGAACGGTAGTGTAATTCTTAAGGCAGCTGTAGTTTACTCTCTAAGAGTTTAATCTCTCGTCTCGCAGGTATTGCGATTGCTTTGCCAACGGGGAGTTCTGTAATAACTGCAACTGTGTTAATTGCTTCAACAACCTTGATCATGAGAGTGAAAGACTGAAGGCCATCAAGGTAATGAATTACTGCCTTTCTGTAGACCTCCATTGTTTTTTCTTTCTTTTTTATCTTTGTTGTTATTTTCCATCTCACTACAGACATGGTACTTCAAATATGCCATTATTATTTTTTTAGTTCAGATGCACAATTTAGAATAACAGAGACTTAGAGGTGGCCTATTTGCCAGGTAACAACCACCTAGCAATAGCATAGCAATGCCCTCTTGTTCATCTCGCTGTACAGGACAGTTCTCCTGTAATGCTTTGAAAATCTATAGGCCTCAAATTAAGTAATGTATTTTTTCCCAGGCATGTTTAGACAGAAACCCTGTGGCTTTTAAGCCCAAGATTGGCAAAGGCAAACAAGGGGAGTCAGACAGGAGACACAGCAAAGGCTGCAACTGTAAGAAATCTGGCTGTCTGAAAAACTACTGCGAGTGTTATGAGGTGAGTGTTTGCACACTGCCAAGAATGTGGAAGTGTCATCTAGAAGATATGGTTGGCTTTCACTTGTGTTTAGGACCAGATATCATTATTTTGTCTGTTCGCATTAGGCAAAGATCATGTGTTCGTCCATGTGCAAGTGCATGGGCTGCAAGAACTTCGAGGAGAGTCCAGAGAGGAAGACGCTGATGCACCTGGCAGACGCTGCAGAGGTACGAGTCCAGCAGCAAACCGCAGCCAAAACCAAACTGTCCTCACAGATCTCAGATCTGCTCACCAGAACCACACCGGCCATCACCAGCGGAGGCGGAAAGTAAGTCCCACCTTTATCAGCTCTGCATTGTGATGTCTGTCAATCACAAGTTTTGTGTCATTCACTCTGTTCAGCTGTCTCTATATCAACCAATTATCCATGAATCACCAGAACACCTTACCAGCTTCCTAGTAACAAACTGATAATATGGGAAAATTAATAGGATAGTTTCTTGAGCAGCAAATCAGCATATTAGAATGATTTCTGAAGGATCATGTGACACTGAAGACTGGAGTAATGATGCTGAAAATTCAGCTTTACATCACAGGAATAAATTCCAGCTTTTACCACACAGCGATTACCTACTAACCACATAAAATATCATAACAATATACAGTAAGTTGTTACTAGGTAGTTGCATGTAAAAATGACTTGTTAAAATGCCTTGGCATTCTTCTAGCAACTGTCCAGAAACCACAATGAAAACCTACACACTTTGTGTTCTTTTATGCCCAGCCAGGACACACCAAGCTGATGGTCGGCCGTCGGGCAATGTCTGGTGGTTTTTGAGCATCGGTTGGCTTTAGTTTTTTCAGTGTGTTTCGCACCGTTGGCTCTAGTTGGACACTGTCAGCTGTTTTTGAGCCGATTCTGCATGTCGAATCGGCAGCGTAGCTTGTCAGCGAGAACTCCGATTGGCTATTCAACTTGGAGAATGGGCGCACGTGAAAAAACAGAACTGACGAAAGCAAACCAATGACAGAGTAAAGAGGGAACGCACAGACACTTGTCATTCTATCCATTTCTCTTTTTTTCTGTTTCCGCAAGAAGACGACCCAGGGCTGACAATGCCTGTGCCATTTGCAGACATGATTGAAAAAGCTACACAGATCCATCAGTTTGTATATCCACAGCTCTAGCTTTTCCGGTTTCCCTGTTTGAATGCCGAATACAGGCTACTTTCACCTGCTGGTAGGGGAAAGTTATGTTCTCTCACGCAAGCGCAGAGTGTACATGCTAGTTGGCCATCAGCTATAGCAGGCTTCCTGCGAGTCCCTAATTCTTAAATTTAGTTGTATTAAAGTCTTAATTATGACTTCAAGACGTCTTAAATTTGGGTATGAAAAGACCAGAATTGTGATATGGCTTATGTGACGATTAAACTTAAAGGCTTTGATTTCATTAAATAAACATGAGCGCTGCAGGGTGCTTGCCAGCTTTGTTTACTGCCGTTACCAGGGAAACCGCTATATTTCTGCCGTTCCGAAAGCGCCATCTGCTGGCAGAGAATGAATGTGCATTTTCAATAAGCCTGTTCTATTGCAATACCGGAGGCTGCAGTTTCAAGATTCAGCATTTCTAGGACCCTATAGTTTGTTTTATTTTGTATATATGTATTAGCTGCTCATACTATTTTATAGCACTTGCTATTCAAATCTGTATATTATTATTTTTAAGGAATTATGTAGTTGTTTAGCTGTATACACTTAATTATTGTCCTAACCAACTCCTAACCCTAAACATACCCGCTGATAACCCTTTTGAAATATTTAACCAAATTTTTTTCTGTACATTGTATATATATTCTGGTAGGGATGGGCGATATGGGCTTAAAAATATACCACGATATTTCTGGTATTTATTGCGGTAACGATATCAATGACGATAATTCATATTTCTGCCGTTCCGAAAGCGCCATCTGCTGGCAGAGAATGAATGTGCATTTTCAATAAGCCTGTTCTATTGCAATACCGGAGGCTGCAGTTTCAAGATTCAGCATTTCTAGGACCCTATAGTTTGTTTTATTTTGTATATATGTATTAGCTGCTCATACTATTTTATAGCACTTGCTATTCAAATCTGTATATTATTATTTTTAAGGAATTATGTAGTTGTTTAGCTGTATACACTTAATTATTGTCCTAACCAACTCCTAACCCTAAACATACCCGCTGATAACCCTTTTGAAATATTTAACCAAATTTTTTTCTGTACATTGTATATATATTCTGGTAGGGATGGGCGATATGGGCTTAAAAATATACCACGATATTTCTGGTATTTATTGCGGTAACGATATCAATGACGATAATTCAGGGAATCCTGTTTCTTTAGAGAAAAGTATTATCTTTGCTATTTTACCCAAAACAGTGTTGTGAGCATTACGGAGTACACGTAATGTATTGACTGTTTAATTCATACTGGAAGCCGGATGGTGGCCTTGCGCAGAAACTCCATAGCAGAAGTAATACTACTGAGGACACTCCAGGAAATCCCTAATATGGACAAAGGTATCCAGTTATCGCTGAATAAAACGCACAAAGGAGAATTTTAACTGATGAAACTAAAGACAATAAACACACACGATTGCACAAAATATATGGTTTATCTGTGTTCTTCAAGCAATCTTGGGTATTTTTTATAATGAAAGTATATTTATAATGCAGTGCTAATCGACATGGCCTTTATCACTGTATATAATACTATCATTCTGTAATATGAAACCACGTCTGGTCACAGAAAGAAGTTATTTCAAACACTCAACTGTTATGAAGTTAATTTGGAGAAAAAGCATGTTAATAAATGATATCTTTGTTGGACAACAGGTTTGTTAACAGGCTCGTACACATGCAAATCTGTATCGCACACATGCTACTGTAGTACATGTATTCAGACCGATTTTTTGTGCACTGTACAGCCCTAACCAAACCAGTTCCAGATTGTAGGAGCTCCTCATTTAGGATAAACTCCTCCTCAATTTCACGTCCGCCTTCCGCGATGTCGCTCCACACGGTCGCATGCAGAAATATATCAACAACTAGACGTTATCGTTATATCGCAGGAAGACTAATTCTTATTGTGGGGAGAATTTATACCAGTATATCGCAAACGATAAGATATCGCCCATCCCTATATTCTGGTTTTAAATTCAGTTTTCTTGGAAAGAAAACTAGTCTCTTTGCGAGACTTCAGTTCATTAGCCGCAGCGCTTCAAGTCTGATGTGTGACACACAACAAAAAATGCAGTAAACGCTAAATCAATTGCGGTACTAATTAGTGTGTTTATTAGTACGTTAATACATTTAAAATAATTTGAATACAAATGCTAATTTATAACATCCAGCAGCACAATGAACTGTTTTGCACAGCTAAATAGGCTAATGGAGATTGCAGACATCGTCTCACACGATCAAGTTCACGCCAGCTCTTACATTAAAAATAAGATTAAAAGATAAAAAATAAATAGTTTCCATGGATCTAGTCTTTGCATCTGTTTATTTGATGTTTGAATCAGGTCTCCTCTGTTGGAATAGAATTGGCTAGATGGCGCTGTCACAAAAAATAGGGTCCTGGAACTGCAGCCTCCGGTCGTGCAGGAACATAGTATTGGGTTGTTTTTCTTCAGACCAATGTGAAAATCGACCCATGTTTTTACCCTGCAAACACGCAGATCTGTAAATGTGAACTGGTGGATCGATAAGAAGATAATTCATTATAAAAATCTAAACGGTTAAATGTGTTTGTTATTTAATTAATATAATAATTTATTTATAATGACTGTTTAAATTAATATAATATTTAATACTTTTGACTCATCCATTTTCTTAAAAATGGTTTAAAGGCTGAAATGTGAAGCGTATCATTTTATGAAACTTTGTTTTTGTGAAAACTTGTATCTGAACTGTAAATCATGCATTTTACATTAATTTTACGGTTTAATATGTTACTATAGACATTGCCCTACCCCGCTCATATGATATTACTATTATTTGTGTTGACGCTTACATTTGTCTTTAAAAAAAGCTCTTAAAAAGTCTTAAATTTGAGCTTAAAAATCCTGCAGCAACCCTGTCCGGTGTGTTCTTGTGCAACTTTTTTTTTGCCCTTACGCAGGCGATCCGAGGCGATGCCACAGTTGTCTTCCTCAGCACTAGTTCTTTACCATCGGTTTGGTGTGTCCTTACCCTTAGTGTTGGAAAATGATCTTGTAATAATTCAAGTGTAAATCTCTTTCCAGGTTGCCATACACATTCGCAACAAAGGAAGTGGCCGAGGCGACGTGTGACTGTCTGCTGGAGCAGGCCGAGCAGGCCGAACTCACCAACCAGCCTCAGGCCGTGGCAGAACGCCTCATTCTGGAGGAGTTTGGTCGCTGCCTCAGGAGAATCATCAGTTTTGCTGGCAAAGCCAAGACGGACTGTCCCATCAACTGCTAGAGCCCTCCCGCTCGTTTGGGGCCCAGGGTGTTGCTGAACCTAGACTCGGGCTCCACTGAGGGCACTTTTACCGGCCCTCATATGGATTCATGGGCCTTCTAATGATAAGGCACAAACCAGAACTTCCCATTGGCCTGTGAGGTGTGTTGTGGAGGACGCCCTATATTCAGTAGGAGGACTACAGTACTTCATTGTAGCCCCTGCGCTGGACTTAACACCGTTTGCTTTACCGGAAGGGGTTTATTTTAGAACGATTGATACTATTTTAAGGTAGTTTGTGTTTTGTTTGGCAATGTTTTCCACTTTTAAATCTGTATAATCATGATATGTGTTTGTCTTTTAAAACTGGATTTTCATATCGTCATTCACTGTCGTCTGAAAGCCCTTACTGATGACCTCGGGATAGTCGGGATGAGGAAGGAACTTCCCTGCACATGTTATAATTAGCCGTCTGATCATGACTTGTATACAGTAAGTAGCCTGTACTGTAGCTTCATTATATTGAATTGCTCGCAGCAGATTCTGTTCCTTGAGCAGAATGGGGTTCAGTCTTCATCGTTCCATTCATGTTCAAGCACGCAAGCGTTCAGCCGGGCCGGCCTGAGAGTCGCTGGATGGGACGAGGGCCGCACGAGATTGAAGTGGAGCATGGCGGTACAGGTTTCCTGTACTCCAGAAATCTAAGATTAGATTTGAATCTTTAATATTGAAAAAACAAGCAGCTAAATAAGCTTTGTAATCCAGTAGTGAGTCTTAAAGCTTGTTTGATAGGCTCCTTCATCTCAGTCCGCAGATCAGTTGAGAGCCTGCTCGATGATTTTATTTTTTTTCTCCAGGTTTGTTTGTTTGGTTTGGGTTTTATTTGCAGTTATTGGTTGATCAGCTCTGTCAGGGCCTAATTAAACCAAACCTTTCCATACTCCGAGTCATGTGTAGTTCCCTAAAACACTTTATGGACGAATCTCATGAAACCTGCCAAGAACACGTCTAGTTCATATCGCATCCCAAAATCATTCATTTATATTGCTTAAAGGAAATGTAGCATCTTTTAGAACTCATGGATAGTTGACCCAAATATGTACATTTTGTAGTTTTCTCACCTTCCTGTTGGTCCAAACCTGTATGACGTCTTTCTTTGGAACATAAAAGAAGAAATTGAGAAATGTCAGGGTTTTTTTTGTTGTTGTTGTTGTTATACATAAGGGTGAGTAAATGACAAAAATTGTCATTTTTGGGTGAACTACTCCCTTAAGTATTTTTCATGATAATTCCATTTTTTTTCATTATCATTAACTGCAATCATTAAGCATAATTCAGGAAATTCTTCTTTTTCATTACTGTAAATGTTATTTTTACTTAATTGACTTTTTTTAGTAGTGTAAAATAATTTTACAGTCATAAGAATCAAAATGAGTTTATATAGAATTATATGAAGATATGTATATAAAAGGAACTCATTCTTATTACTGTATTTATAATTACTTTGATTAAAATAATTGTATTAGTTTTTTGTAGCATCTTTTACAGTAATGAGAATCAAAAATGAGATTTTGTTTTTTCATAAACGGTATATAAAAATAAACTTGCATTATGTGTAATGCAAAGAAAATCTCATTACTGTTCTAATTAATTATTACAGTTTGGTTTCTTTTTTAGTAGCATAAAAATTGACCATAATGAGAGTCAAAAATTTGATTTACATAGACTTTGTGTGTATAAGATAATCATTATGCATAATTGAAACAAAAAGTCTCAATCTATGATCATTTAAATTAAATTGTACTATAGGTTGGTTTTCTTTTAGTACAGTTATTTTACAGTAATTAGAACCAAAAATGCGTTGTTGTTTTATAATATATAAATAATATTTAAAGGTAATTTTTGTGGTCATAAAAAGTGGGATTATGTATGTCTTTTTTTACCTTTTGATTTTGGGATGAAATATGACGACGATATGTGCCTTTTGTGATTTACTGGCGAAATGTAGTTTATATTAATGGCTATTTCTTCTCAAAGGCAAGTAAACTATGTTGTATGGGATATTAAAACATCAAAAGTTGGTAGATCAAATTACTCAAAAGTGCTATAAGAACAAGAAATCATCGACTCGAGGTGGTCTTCAGGTTTGGTTGAAGCCATGGTTTGGTTTGGCACAGGAGCTTAATACAGACTTTCAAGCATTATTTAAGAGCACTAGAGGACAGGCTGCTTTTTGACTTCATTTTGCTCATAGTGCCTTTTCGCACAACCGCTCAAACGATTCTTCACCGTGCTCCGTGGAAGTCTGCTTTCTTAGACGCAGATTAAACATGAAAAACCTGCTGCATGTAATCTGCCAAAAATAGTTTTCGTCTGATTTTATTCCGTTTTATTTATATTATCAGGCAGTTACTAAAGCTATGAAGGAACTTAATCTTATCTTTCCCAGACTCACAAATATGCTTGTTTGAATGCAGCTTTTATTCATCAATAAACAGACCATCACACTGTCGTGAAGGCATGCGATGCTTTTACATTTTATAGCCGAAGGTTTCTGATCTGCCCTACATTTCACAGCACATTTATATTCCACTATTAAACAGCTGGTTAAAGATTAAAACGCTTATGCACCTTGTTATGCCTTAATAACCACCTCTATACTCAGGGCTTTTTAATGTAAATATCCTCATAACTAATAGTGAAGATTATTTCGCTGCATGACTGCAAGCAATCTGCTAGACGACTCCTGGTTCACATTAACGCATTATTCTTTTTCATCAGGCGTTTTGGATATAGCTTCATTGGTTTTGAATATTTTCATAAACGCTTCATCCAAGTAATGCATAGCCTGCGGTATTTTTTGTTGTTACTTGTTGCAGAGAAGACACGAGAATGCAGGGTTCCTCGCCTGTGCCATCCAAAACTTTAATATCTTCCCAGCTTTGGTTGTTTATAGATCATCTTTTTCCATATTTTATGGCGATAAACGCTGTTTGTATTCCAGACCCTTTCCTCCATTCAATTTCTGACAGATGCAAATGATTTTCAGGTTGTACATTTGTCGAAAAAGAAGATAATGAGCAATGAGTTCATGTCTTTGTACGTATATATCCAGTCAATGTTATCTTGTATAAATGTAAATGAACATTAGTGCTCCTTTGTACCTTTCTGAAAATTGCTATGTTTTTTCACAAATGAAACTCTTAATTAATGTATAAATGTTTCCGTGTTTTCATATGGTGAGTTGTATTAGGCAGACTTTAGGGTTTGAGATTTGTTGACTTTGTTCATTGCGTTTTTTTTTAGATTGTCCTTTATTTTCTGTTTAACACATACTATGTCTATCCATGTGATTAAAACATATCAGTCAGAATGAATTAAAATCCCTCTGAACTACATTGTAAAGTTTGTCTGGTCCTACTCATTAGAGCGATGAAGAATAAAGCAAGAAGCCGTGGTTTACAGTGAATTTATAACGGCTAAGGGGCGTTGTTAGGTACGACGCAAAGCGGAGTTATGAATTCACTGTAAACCACGGCTTCACGGGGCTTATTGCTTTTATAAAACGGTTATTCCATATACGTAGTAAGGTTTCACAAAATAAAACCGCAAATAAAGTGTAATGATATTAATAACAACAGTATTCTTCCACCAAACAATGTAGTTCCTCAGAATCAGTTGTGGATGCAACAAAGTGGTTGCCAAGCAACAGACAAACATAAACAAAGGTGTATGTTTGTAGTGGCCTCAGCCAATCAGAATCAAGGACCGGAACTATCTGTTTTATAAACTTCATTTTACACTTCATTATAAGCACTTATTTCATTGTTTTATTGAAGTCACTGTCTGATTTTCATTTGTTTGTCAGGTAAGCATTTGAAAAAATATTTAAATAATCTTTTAAGTGATTTTGCATAGACTTACGTGTCTCTAACCAATAATATAAAAGCTGCTAAAAACCTGTTCTTCTAGAAAATATCAAGTTCAAATGAGTTTAATTTCAATAAAATATTAATAATAACAATAAAATTGATTTGCCTTTTGCAGTAGAGAGGAAGAGGTTGTAATATTTTGAATTCCCCCTGTGTAGCTAACAACGTTTTCTGTGAAATGTCTGATATAATCGTAGTTCGCCTATATCTTTTCTTATATTTACAATGTAGGCCCATAACTCTTCAAATAATGATCTTTAAAAAAGCATCATATGACCCCTTTAAAATGTAACTTTATTTGTTCAGTCGCTCCAGTTCTCCAGGTGGCGCTGTAAGCAAGAAAACAGCTGCCACGCGACAAGCGCTTACCGAAGAACACAAGAGAGCTGCTTCATTTATCACCTTGCGTCCGTTTTAGATTACATTGATTTGTTTGGCGTAGATTTTACAAGTGGTAACTGCTGTTTCATATTTAAAAGTAAAATGCAGTAAAATGGCCGCGAATCCACCGGGACAAGGTAAATAACGTTACTGTAGCATATCAGATGCCAAAAACAGCTGGACTGGCATTTCTGATATTAAGCTCATGTAATGCGATATGTAGTGTTTAAATCGTTTTCAAAGTAAATCCCTAGATATAACAAAATATACAGTGCGGTTGCCCATCAAACATTAAGGAATGAAGCTTTAATCAGTCGTTGTGTCACTCTCGTGCTGTTTCTATTAGATCTGCGAGTTTTCAATTTCACTAGTTGCTTTATTATTAACTATTATTGGTGTAAATTTGATTTCAGTAGGATTTCAGAACAAAAACAGGGCTGCTATTCTAGCTGAGCTGGATAAGGAGAAGAGACGTCTGATACAAAGTCAGTCTATGAATAACCCAGGAGCCAGGTACTGTTTTAACAACATGCCACGATTAAAATATTTCATTTGTATTTTTCAGTGTTCTCTCTCTCTCTCTCTCTCTCTCTAAAAAAACATGCTGTTAAGTCAGTATCTGTCCCAGCAGTAATCAGCTTATTTGCATACTCATAAAAAGTCATAACCTATGCTGTATAACATGTTTTTCTTTTTTCTTTCCCAGCATTCCCCTCTCTCGACCAGCAGTAAATAAAGAGTTCAGGGATCAGGCCGAACAGCAGCACATTGCAGCACAGCAGAAAGCAGCTTTACAGGTACCGTAAGCTTCATGTTGGGAGTTTCAGTGTTCATCTATTCTTGATAATGCCCATCAGATGAGTATTGTTCTCTGCTTTGGTTTCAGCATGCACATGCACATTCATCCGGCTTCTTCATCACTCAGGATTCTTCCTTCGGTAACCTTATACTGCCTGTGTTACCAAGACTCGACCCAGAGTAAATAAACAATCAGCTACATGGACTGACTTGCTGTTTTGTAAAAACTTGCTACTCAAAGCTGTAATGTGGTTATGCTAGATGACTTTGGTTTTTCATTAATGTAAAGGTTTCTGATTTTTAGATTGTTATATGCTAGGAAGTATTTTTTCATGATTTTATATAAAATGGAAAAAACTTGACCATTATTGTGTTGTCATTTTTTGATATATGTGACTGATATATTAATATAATTCTGCCGTTATTTTCATTATTTTATTGGGCAAGAAGGGCCAAGTCCAGTACCATCTAATGACCACAATAGTTTACAAAAGACAAAATCTTTTTCACCATTCCAAAGGCAAGAGTCAATAACTTGTAAAACCGTTTATAATTGCAACTAATTGTGATATAATAATCAGTGGAGCTGTAAAGTAGTTAAAAATGTTATGTTAGTAGAATTATGTGGTTAACAAATAATTTCTTAGTTCTAAAACTGAGCCATGTGAGAGAAAAACCCGAAAGAAAAAATCTGACTTTATTCATATTACAGGGTTGCTTTATTTATGGTAGTATATTTGTTTCTCAACTTTATTTTTTTAACCATTTTGTTTGTTTTTGTAACCTTAAATAATCCTTGTTGTGTATGTTCCTAGAATAAATTATATAA